CGATAACAACACACGCTAAAAACGCAAAGGCTCATGGGTAGATGCTTGTTTGTAATCACTGACACGCTATGGCCATCTGACGCATGCGCAGGTGACGACTCCCCCGCTTTAATGCTGAACAACTACAAGTCTCTATAGTAACCCGTTATTTTAATAATGGTAAACTCTACAGTCAGTTGTTGACATATATCATCAAATTGACTAAATTCTTCAAGATCTAATTACCACCTAGTTACGTTCTGATCAAAGTGTACAAATTAAAGATTCAATATGGAAGAGAGCATTTATTTTGTTAATATTGCTTGCTGATACTGTTGGTGAATACATTGAATTCTGATTTATTATGAGAACACAATTAAGTATACGTTCGATGAAACAATGAGATTCTATAATGCGCATGTGCACTAATTGTTTTGGTACGTACAGTGTATAATAACGACTACTGCACATGCGTATTAGTATTATTTTCCATCGACCGAATACATACTACATAAACATTTGACATGTTTAGTTTACGATGTTGGTCTTCATCATGCTATTTCAAACATAAGTTTTTGTTCAAAGTTCATCTTCAACATTCATGATTTATGACTTACTGAAGCGAGCATCCTTTACTTGAAACATGAACTCACAGTAGTCAGTTTTGAGTTTGATGACGTCACTGACGTTTGTATCAGACGTGCAAGTCATTATTTCGGTTTTAAGTGGTTCAAAGTCACTTTCAACTCAGGGGATGATGGGTTGAAAGGTATCGATTGAAAAAATATTTGACCACATATGAAAGTAACAATGAAAAGGGGAATCTGAATAACCAATATACTTTATAATATAGTTTTGTAGCTGAGAGAAATCGTTATTGCTATGGTATCCCTGACTGCTCTGTTGAATGAATTGAAAGATTGTTTACCACATAATTTTTGAACTAATACAAATAATGTAGGAAGTATCGAATGATTCCAATTTCTGTCAATACAGTCACGTAATATTCGTGATAGCTTACACTAAATTGACTGTTCACCGCTCTGATGACTGCTGTAGGTACAAGACTAAAAAAAACTGGTGTCGAAGCATACTATATATACCACACACACTTTTGGGGTTAACGGCCTTCATCGGAGGGCACTGTCCCGAGCGTCAATAGATTAAATCTATTACAACTAATACATTATTTTAGTTTCCATGTATACTTTATTAGTTGTCTGGGATTAAATCAACATCGACAGTGAACGCACTATACTCGATATCCCGACCGATACAGACGCCTAAATGTTTAGATATTTTACACGTTGAATGTTGGGCATATGATTTGAGAGGCCGGGCAAGTTGTGTTAATGCGAAGCTCTTTACAAGATTGTGCCTGATTGGCTGCTCAATCCTAAACCTTAGAGTCAGACCAATCAGAGAACAGCTTGTTTTGTTTCAGATTTTTTTTTTTTTTGACGTATCAGATTTGGCCTTGTATATAAGCTTCGACTCAAGTACTGTAAAATACTTTATTTTAGCTGGAATTAATGTTCGCTGATTCAGAAATGACTTTTTGAGTGTTTTGTATGGAATTTATTTTCACTGATTTTTGACGAGTTGAATGTGAAATATAGGAAAAAAAGGTATACTAGTATTCGATGGATTTTATTTTCACTGAATCATCTATTCAGCGAAAATATTTTACAGTAGGCAACTTGCGTGATTTGTAAATACATGTGGATGATATTCGCTCACATTCGATCAGGTTCAAACTGCATGCATTGGATCGTAGAGTTACAATAAAGGAAGCGTAATGTACATTTAAACAATACACTGTTTATTATGGCGATGTTAAAACAAAGAAACTACAATGTAACAAG